CGGGGAACTACAGCAATCAGGTTGCAGAAGGAATGTGAGGCGAGCTTTAGCTTTACTGTCACACACATCAGCTTGCCAAGGAGACAGGGAGTAGAAATTGGAGATGTGAAATCCCAGACTCCTATGAGCTTAATGAAGAGTGAGTAGGTAGGTAGAAAAGACTCCACAGTCCTGAAAGGCTGAAGCCACGAGAAAAATCTAGTTCCATGATAACCGGCAAAGATTTGGCTTTTCTGATCAAGAAGCCTGTTTTTCTTAGAATTTTAAGAGCAAGCAACACATTTTCATTGATTATTCACAGTGAATTCATTTCAGAGAAATGTTTAATCTGAAAATGTTCACTTCCTTCTAATCAAAATAACATTCTAACCAAAAAATCATAATAAATAATAGTCTATATTTCTTATAATTGGATAGGGTGTATTTCCAGAAACAAAAGCTATTGGGAAATAGTAAATTCTTAAAAGATCTCAGCAATACTTTGATAGCACTGCTAACATCATAAAACTTTATTATATTTTAAAGACATTTAAAAAACAAATCCCAGAAATAGGTTAACCGTGCTACAATTTACTTCTGTGATTCTCGAAATGCAGAATAAGATACTGAACAAATTAAGTAAGATGGTGTACGCTCTCTCTCATTTATTTAAACAAAACTTCTGCAAAACAATTTCAATTTCACTTTTCTAAAATATATTTAAGACTTAATTGCCTTAGGATACAATTATTTTGCAAATCAGTTACAGTTATGAACATGATTATAAGCAGGACCACATACCACTACATTTACCCCACAGCAGAAGAAAAAGGTTAGAACTCAGCTGTCTAAACTTAGGCATCCACAGGCATTTTCAACATCTTATGATATCCTTACCCTGTGTCTCCTTCTCTAAAAGGACATGTGGGTCCCATACGTTTCCTGTTGTATTTGGCAGCTTTTGGTATCTGCCCAAAGACACACAAAGCCATCTAAAATTGTACTATGTCTGTGATTAGACATCTGCACCAATTCTAAATACATCACCTTCTTAAAAAGTTATTTTTCAGTTTTCTTAATAGAATATTGAATTCAGTCTTGGTGGAAGTAAATCGAAATAGAAAGATGAATTCTGTTTCCTGTTTTTGTGAAACACTGATACATATACATTAACAGGTATATACAAATAAGATGTAATTCAAAATAATAACCTTAATTCTTAGTAGGAATTAAAGTGTTTTCCATGAGGATGTCTGCACTGCTCCTCCCAATAACAATTGCTGTTAGGAGAGCAGTGCGACTGTAAGTAGTGTGTGTGAACAAAATACCTGAGACTGAGTGGGCCTTTGCTCAAAACTGATAAAGAGGAAGATGACCATCAATCAGATTGAACAGTAACCATAAAATTAGAGACCTGAAATAAACAAGTGGTCGAACTGAAAATTAGTATAAAAGAAGCATGAAAACTAACAGCGAGGGCAGAGAGAGTTACAATGCAGCGCTCATGATCTAGTTCAGCTTCAGAAGTTTCCCACTGTTCCTGCAGATGTAAGCGCTTCCTCTCTGCTGGATGCCATCAGCCTTGGCACTCCAGCTAACGGACTGGCAGTACCAAGCGCAGCACATAAGGACCCACACCACATGAGGGTATGTGACCTCCTGGGGTGATTTCTCACCAGTGCATGGATTAGCAGACTGCAGGGAGGCGCACGGGTGCACATAACACCAGAGCACCCCCACGTGTACACAGCACCCTGGAGCACATACAGGAGGTGTGTGCACACAGTGAACTTGCACTCTCAGGAAAGGGTGCGTATGCTGGTAACCTGAAGAGTCAGGGAGTGCAAATAACTGTGTGAATGTGGATGTATGGGATGAAAAATATTTGGGATTAATTCCTGAATAGTGCTTAAAGATTTTTAGGTCTATAGTAACATTTGTATGTGGCTTAATATTGTGATTTACCTTTTGCATTGTTGATATCGATTCTGAATGTATAGTTCACTGACTGCCAGTTATTTAACATTTTACTAACAAACCAATAAACCATTCCTGTTCTGATTTGATTTGAATTGAGCAGTTTATCCCTGTAACATTTTCCTCATCTAACAAATTACATTATTGTATTAAAACCTCTGTTTTATGTATTAAAACCCTTTTGAAAAATGAAAGCAGCAAAATTACTTACAGAATATGCCTTTATTTTTGTAGCATCCTGTTCTTTTTGCTCTTCTAGCTTTTTCTTTTCCTCTCTCATATCTTCTGATTCTTTCTGCCAGCTTTCCTTTTGACTAAAACAGTAATTAAATACTTTCATTTAGAATGATGAAAGACTTGAGGATTTTTAAAACCATAACTAAAACAGCAACCCTGAAATATTGCAAACCAAAATACTTTTATTTTTAGCAGTAAGATATTTTGAAAAAGACATTATAAATTGTAGATGGATCACTGAAAAACTATCCCCTCTGTTTAGGCTTCAGCTGGTTTTGTAATTATGAAAATACTTCTTAAGTTAAAGTGTCTTATCTCTTTTTCACATGTGTACTATAGTGCTGAGATATAGATGGCTTACTCCCCAAAAATATACACTCACAGGATTTAATCTGCTTTAAATTACACACTTGTATTTCAAATTAATTACTTTCTTGAACATGTCTTTGTAAAAATAGGCAAAGTTTAAAATTTTGCAAATGAAAACATTTCCACTTGAGTACCTCTCTGGAAACTCCAGGTCTCCCAGGGAGACAAAAATCATACTACTGGCATTTACCACGCTGTGAGCTTGTAAATGGGCCTTTTCTTTTTGAAGCAGACTATGCCCAGCAGATTTCAGCAGGTATTCACAACTGTTCCCAACAATTTGGCCAATAAGATTTACAGATAGATAAAACGGTTTGGCAAATAATCAATGACTCTTTCCATAACTGTTTCTTCTGCATGAAGCACTTGCACATCCATTAGCTAAGAGAGTCTGTTTGCAAGGGGAACAAGGTTTCTGCAGTTCCTGAGAGCCAGAATACCTAAGTTGATTTTGAAATATTTTTCATTAATCATACAGAATGGTACAGTATCATAAGGAAAGATTACTTGCTCATGCTCTGAGAATTCCCCACAGCACAGTAGTTGGCTTTTTCTTTAGAAGATGTCAGTTCAAATTTCCCACAGGAAGTGGACAGAATTAAACTTAGGTTTCCCATATCCAAATTCTGCATTAGAGATCAGACTTCTAAACAAAAGGGCAGGCAATGGCTTTAATATTAACTCAAATTTTTCAATGGTTTTCAGATCCTTCCTTCTATTACATTCATTTTATTTCAGATGCATAAAGGACATAATTTCCCACCCTAGTTTTTCTATTTCAGTGAAAAACAAACAAAAACATAAAAAGATTAAGCTTTGCTTTGGCCCAAACCACTCTCCTCTATCCACTGACTTATTTGAAAACAAAAAAGACTATGAACTGCTTATGCATGTCTAATAAGGAAGTTCCTATAGACTGTACAGGACAGTTTAGGCTAATTTAAACAAGTAATCACGGGTACTTCGTCAGTAGTATTTCCTCTTCAAAGAAGATCTCTTAGTTTCTTCCATAATTGAAGAAAACGGATGAAAAGGAAAGAAAATACTCTGAAAGTGAGCCCTTATGGGATGCTAAGTCAAAGAATCTCCTCCCCTAACTTCAATCAGTAACAGGTTTGGAGAAGAAGCCGTGAATCATTTTATCCCTGTCATTGGCGAGATCTAATCTAGTAGTAAATGAGGCAGTATATTATAGCCTTTACATTTTCAAAAAGCTATAGCCTTAATGCGTCAAACAGAAGTAATGTGATCTGGGAAGTCTTAACTGATTCAAAGAATGAACAGAAGGTCCTAAAAGATAAAACACGCTTATTCTAAACGCCATCCAGTGACTGTTCATTCCAATCCAAAGACAGCGATGACACAACTAACAGTCTGTTAGCTGAAGAACCCAAATGTCCATATTCATCCCTATGCTCCTAAGAGATGAAAATCCTTTTTTTTTAGACCATAGGAATTTTACAGAAATTGCATTCAATGAAGCATATAAAGGAACTAAGAGTCTGAAAGAAAATCAACTACAAAGTCCTGACAACCTGAAATTCTGAAACAGAGATCTCTGACTGTGTTTGGATATCAGTTTTCTTTTTTTCACCCACAAAGAAAATGTAAGGACCCATACTTGAAAGCAAAAGAAAATGAGACTGAAGGGTCCATAATACCAGGTTCTAACAAAATATGAGATATCAGATTCAGAAAGCACAATGCAATCCTCATCATAAAGTATGCAATATGAAAAGAGTCCAGCAGAAAATGTTTTCATAAGAGTTTTCTGAATCTTTACAGGAATAAAGAAAACATATGGAGTCCATATCCAAAAGCAGCAGCATTTATGACATTAAACAAATAACTACTTCAACACAGCAGCAAATCTTGTATTAAAAATTAATAAACATTTAGATAGTTGAACTTCCATAATTCAGAAAAGAGAACAATACCTTTGATATTCTTTATACAGCAAGCCTTGCTGATGACGAATTACTGCAAATTTTCGTTTGTAGTCCTCTACTGCATCTTCTAATTGTTTAAGTAACTGTTCTTTATTTTCCAGCTCCTAATGATTATTTTCCAAATAAAAACATTGCAGTGATTAATATATGTTTTAAACATGAAAAGATTAATCAAAATGCCAGTTCTCCCTTGGGTTTTTCAAGATAGATGCTTGTGTCATCAACTGTGTGAACTGCACATATGAAATGTGTATTTTCTTCAGAAGCAACAGATGAAAAAAGGCCAATAAACTTTCACATTCATATTAACAGGCGTTAAATAGTGCATAATTGCACTGTGGATTACAGCCCTCAAAGTTCAAAACACCATGACGTATTGCTAGTCCACAAAGAATACTAGTTGAATGTCTAACTGTTCCCAAATACTCTTCTACTTCATAGTCATGTACAGCTGAAAAATATTCTTTAATCAGCAAACTGATTAAAAGACAGAACAAAATAATTTAATAATAATAAATAGAGACCTTTGCTGTACAGAGAAAAACTGTTCAGAGTAGGATTTGCACATACAGAGTCTGGTGTGGAATCCAGACAGCAGTAAGAGACAATTTCTCATAGTAAGAGAGCAACTGCAGCAGTAGAAGGAAGAGTAGGCAAATATTTAAATCAAAATTCAGATTCAAACAAAAAAAATCTGAATTGTTGTCAAAAAGTTCCAGGTTTACAACACAGCAAAATATTTGGAGCTTTAAAAAAAACAGAATAGTCCAAAAGGTTTACTGGGTATCAGAACTTCAACTTCAAAAGAATTTTGGAGTGTTCTCCCATGTCCATATGTGGGACGGTACTAGGTTTTGGAGGAATTAGCTATATGTTACAAATATTCTTGTCATCAAGGAGTAAATGAGTTACCTGTATAAGACGTATTAAATACTCATTCAGAGAATTAATCATATTAACACTTGAAGGAACCATTCCTTCTGGAAGATTCACTGTTTGGAAGACAATATTGGCACCTTCTGACTGACGTAATAAGCATATTTCATTTTTCAGTTGTGCAATCTAAAGAAAAGAAACAAAAACATAAAGAAGTAGCTCTTGCTATTCAATTAAAAAAAACCCAACACCTGATGGAAAATATATTCTTTTCCTGTGCCACATCAGCTGTTATTAACAACCTAATTCACTTCCATTTATATTCTAAAACATTTGAACAGTCTTTTAAAAATGCTGTGATTCCATAAATCATTAAATCCCTAATATCTCAGGCCAAACTTATCACATAACTGCAGCCATCAGAGTAGCTTCACATATCTGAGGACTCATCACAGTTTTATACTAAATTGTTTAAAATGTAGTGCATTTCTATTCCTTCTAAAAAAGATGAAGTTTTGGAAAGATTATTGCAGTGGCTATTTGATGTTTTATTCTAAACAAACCTTTGCCTTTTCATTTAACTTCTTAAAAGCTCTCCAGTTCTCTAACAGTACCTAAAATATTATTCTAGAATATTAGTTACTGGCAAATTTTTTTGCATCACCAAAGCTGTTCTAAAAGGCAAATTTAAATTCGGCTTCTCGTAAGATTATATTCAATTCCTCAATCCTGCCCTGGAGGAAGCATTTCACAGAATCAACTGTACAACTTAAAATAAAAAACAGGATTTTATAGAACAATTAATTATTTTAGAACTACAAATGCAAAAGTACTGGCTTTTTGAAGAAAGAAATACGTGAGCTTTTTTGGGCACAGCTCTCCCCAAAATATAGGCGTGCTTGGTGTTTAACACGACAGGATATTCAGAGGATAAAATAACATTAAGAAGAGTAAGATTTGAACTTAAAGTTGACAAATTGGTAGATCCAACACATAAATTTAATTAAGATTTGTATAATTACACTGTTCACATAAGCTAAAGTCAGTATCTTATAGACTGTGTGGTTTTGGTCTAAAATATCACAGCAACCACTTTTCAAGTACAAAATAAATTTAATTAAATAAATTGTATACCTTTTCATTTGCATTTGCCAGCTGATTAGAGAAATTTGTTGCCTCCTTCTGAGCCTGTTTCAGTTCCTGTCTTAATTCTTCATTCCGTCCTGTAAGCTGGTCAACCTGAGCTTTCAAGTGCACACTAGCATCAAAGATTCCCTCTGAATTCTTTGATTCCATTGCCTAATGCAGTAAACATTTTATTAAGAAGTGCAGAAAAGCTTTGTTTTTTCTTAATAAACTGAAGCCCTCAAGTTTAGACTACATGAAATTAGCAAAACCCATGACATTTCAAGGTTTAAAATCTACTTATCAGTTTCCTGATGGTATATTTGCTATAGACATTGATTTAAATGGTTAAATTTTCTTGTAAAAATAGTGGGTTTTTGGTAAGATGTTTGAAAAAAGAATGTTCTTAAACATTTCCTGCAAGTCCCATAGACATAAAAGACATTCAAATGAACTTTTACCTACGCTTTATGACTGGGACAATACACTTGCCAACACTTGCCAAAGACCGTTTTATACTATCCAGCTGAAGATTATTGTTATTTTTTTTAATTTTATGGCAATGTCTTGTTGCTATATATTTTTAATTTGCATTTTTAGAGGTATCACACTATGTACTCCTTCTTGTAACTAAGGAAGCATATGTATAAGGAAACTACTATTTAATTATACAATAACTCAATAACTAAGGAGAAAAAAAAGCCCGTAAATCCTATAAAGCTAAATATACTTTAGAAAGCAAGCTTACGTTAACTAAGCGATCCAGACTAGGGATTATTAAGGCTGTTTCTCCTCCCTTCACATTAGGATCCTTCTGCATGTCCTTGACAGCTTGCAATATTTCTTTCATTCCTTGTTCAAGGTGTTTATTCTCTTCTGATAACACTTTTACTGTAATAAAAATTGTAAACACGTCTAAACAGTGAAAAAATGAGTTAAGGTTTCCTAAGACATGACATCATAATACGTGTTAATTTGATACATAAAAAGAATGTTCATATTATATATAGACATAACCAATTAGGACGTTAAAAGCAGAACTGCTAGGAACATCTGAAGAGTGTATTTTGCTGGAGAAATACCAACAGAACAATAATAAAATGGTTCACGGGAACACATTTGATCTTATTGAACCTTCCAGTCTTCAATGTTTCCTGCCACTTTTTTCACTTCTTTAGTAGCCTGTCTGACTGGCTTTCACAAATCCAGAAACATTAGAAATGTTTGGGTGTAACAATGACGCACATATGAACTGCCTGAATTCGTGCTGCAGACTGCGAAAAGAGAACATTTAAACTATGTGGCTGTAATAAGGACTTTCACGACATACAATTTTCCTGCCACCACCATTACTTTCTCTGTGGAATCCCAGAGTTTCCAGCACAGAGCAAGAAGTCTGGAAATTTTTTTAAAAACCCCAACAAACCTATCACAACATTCTCTGCATCTTCACAATATGGCGAACTGTCCTGAAGACCCAGCAGTGAACTGCAAAATTAGGCAGTTTCACCAAGTCTATTTTGAAAAGTCAAAAAGAATTTTTAGAATTCACCTTCTGTGGGAAAAAAATAAGATTCTTGTCTAGAGAAATTAGCATTATTTTTATTTCAGAGTTTGCAAGCAGTGCAATTCAGCTAACGTACATATATACGTAGACAGCTAGTGGGTTTAATCCCCCAACACTTCCTTGGAGCCAGAAAAGCACTACAATTATACAAGTAAATTGTATAATTGCTATAATTGGGATCACTCACAGCCTTAAAGCCTATTACATCTTATTCAGGAAGGATAAACATGAGAGATCCTAGTTTAATGTGTTTACTATGAATAAACTATGTTTCATGTACTATCACTAATTTGTTTTAAATTAGCAACACTATATATGTATTTATACACACGTACACAAAGATGTGCATTAATATAAACACAAAATTAAGAAAAAAGAAGTCATTAATGAGAATTCGAAGAAATTCCAATTTGACAAATGCCATTTACATTCATTGTTTTGTAGTCATTATGTTCATACCTGGACAATTCACAACCATAATTTCCACAGTTCATAAGTGTATCAGAATGATTGCAGAATAACCTTCCATGTACACAGAAAATTCAGTCATTGTGAAAGATAACAAACTAAATTGCATTTAAAACAGAAACTGTAAAGTCAGACACTTGTGGTTACAATCACAGAAACAGAACAACTACATAGGCAAGCTATCGGCAGGTACCTGATAATATTCCTTAGTTTTAAAATACGTTGCAACTTACATTTAGATTGAAATTTGGCTATTACAGTCCTGCTGTTCTCCAAATCTCTTTCTCTCACACTTAATTCATTTGCAAGATACTCATTCTAAAGAAATGAACAAAGAAAACTCAAAAATTGTAATTTAGGAATTTTAGTATCAGAATTTTCATTAAGACTCTCTGGTTAAATAAGAATAAATTCTTGAAAATATTGCTAATACACATATATTCAACAGTGAAATTACATAGCATGTAAACCGAAATGAGGTGTTATATAGAAGGTAACAACCAAAGAAATAGCCTCATCTTCACAGCAACAAAATTATCAGGAAAAAAATATTTAAACCATGAATAAACTTCATATATATATTTTTCCTTGTTTTTTGGGTTGTTTTTTTTTTGTTTGTTTGTTTGTTTTGGTTTTTTTTAAGAACACTGTACTACCTGCACTGCCTGGCTTCTGCATCTTTCAAGATTTAATTCTGTTTAACTATTTAGCAAACTCTTGATAAACAAATCTGCTCATTGTGAAAAAAAAACAAAAAAACCCAACAGTAAGTTATTAGTATAGGATTCTATCTCCATTTATATACAAATATATATATATATATTTCGAAGACTTACCTTCCAAAAAAATAAAAAACCCACTTTTCTACTGAAAATGCAATTAGTAGGCACTATTCATTCCACAGCTTGGCTAACAAAGTATTTTAAGACAAATCACAACAGCAAAGCATACTCCTGCAGCATGGAAAAACTCTTGTATAGTTTAAAAAAGCCTGATGTATATAGACGTGTACTTTCCATTGATCAATTACATAGATCAGTGGGCTCAGCAGAAATGCCAACAGTTCCAAAACATTTCAGCCAGCGATAGCAGAAAGACCTATTTGCTTATCTTATACATTGTAACCATGACGTTTCCTCATCACATTCTTAGATGGTTTCTCCAGCACAAAAAATAGATAGATTCTAATTTCAGCAGTCTAATGTTCTAGTCCCAGTCTTTTTTTCAAATTTGGAGTATGCCTTCATGAAAATTTCCCAGTCTGCATATGAATCTCCTGCCTGAAATGCAATGGCAACAGAGATGGATTCACCAGAAGAATTACACAGGGTGTATCCCATGGAACACTGCCCAGGGAAACACGTATTCTTGGGTCATGCAGAAGATGGAACAGCAGTGTAGTATAGACCAGAAGTCTGTGCGACTCTGAGGGATTGGCTTGATCCATACCCCAAATGTATCTCTAAGCAACCAAAGCAATGTTCCTCTATACAGAAAACTAACGCAGAACTTCAAGGTACCATTTTATGAAGCTTCAGTGAATAATTTTTTTATATAATTTACCATGTGAATAAAAGAAACCACAGCAAGCATCCTGAAATCTGTTCTTTCACTGATTATAAAAAGTTTTCAAAACCCCTTTTGAGAACCTAAAAGATTTTATCATTAGAGATCATTTTAATAAAAAGTGGAATTTTTCATTGGAAATATTTTTTTTCTGAAAACAGATATATATTATCTTTGTCAGTTGGCAGGGAAATAGATAAAAGATACATAAATAGATAGAAGAACAAACTCAGGAACTTCTTAGTTGTTTCCCAGAAGGAATAGTTCCCCTTTCTCATTCCAAAAATCTATACCATGCACTCTCTCTGGAGCTATGAGATATCCTCTAGTCAAATAATATCTGCAACTTTTAACAGAAATCTCATCTTCTACCTTTCATAACAAAGGACTGAATCAGTACCTACTTGATCCAACTAACGCTTATAAATTACCATTTGCATTTCTCTATATTTATTTAAAACATTTTAAAAAAATAATCCTCGAACTACATTGTTTAAAATATAGTTGCAACAATCAATTTGTGTGAGATGCAAGGCTGTATGCACTGATAAGAAAAGTGATGAGAACATTGTTTACACAGATGTGTGTAAAGTTTCAGAATAAAAACTGTTCTCTCTTCGTACCCATCTATGTGTGAGTGCATGGGTGTTGTGAAAATTTTTTCCACCAACAGGATGAAAATACATGCCTGCATTTTTCAATCCTATGTCAACAAATAAACTGCAAATTAATGACTTGGCACTTTTGTTATTAGAATAAAAACCCCATCAAATTCTATCAGAACTATCCTATAGCTTTAATAAATAAAGATGAAAGTAAACTAACACATTTTCATTATTTGAATTTACCTTCTAAATAACTCCAATGGAAATAAACATACTCATTCTATAAAAGTGTCTCACCTGTGACCTAAGAAGGGCTAAGTCTCTCCTCAACTGCTTTATGAGATTTTCAACAGGATCTACCTGATCTGAGTGTTCTGACTGTCCATTTTCAAGTCCACTTTCCAAAGTTTTTACTTGCAAGAATTCTGTTAGGCATTTCTTTCCTTCTCTGACCTCTTGAAAGGCAGTTAAATCAGAAAACCTTACTTACAAATAGTCTGCTTTATCCCTCCATGTCATCACTTGTGTTTTCTACATTACTGGCTTTCCAATAGCAGACGCACAAGGAATCAAGAGTATTTTCTGAGCAACAGTTCCAGGCGAAAATTTTCCTGAGCTGTTTGGTCTGAATGAGAAGTTACAGACACCTGATTCTGAAAAGATGGTTTGTTTCTGTAATTTCGGTTATTTACCTCTGAGGTCTGACACACTCGCTGATAAGCAGAAAGTGAATCCATGTTGTCTGATTTTAAATCTTTTGACATCTCTCTACTGTCTGTATAATCTGTTACCCACAATGTCTGTGTAAACTGTAGATCTGGTGATTCTAAAAGCTCTTCTATACTAAGAGCTTCAGAACTACAGTTGTCATTAACTAGTTGCCACTCTGTCATGTGTTTTGAACCTAAATGAACCAAAGAAGTATTTCTATTGCTTTCCAAGTGATCTAAATTCTCAAGTATGCCACAAGTTCTTCTAGATAGATTTCCCACAGCCTTACCGCTACATCTTTCTCTGACTTCAAAAGTCTAACTGGTGCTTCTCTATCTGCAAGTGTGTTTCTCTCTTCCACACTACATGACCCACTAGCCTATATCCACAAAAAAAATGGAATATTCACTAGTCTTCTAAAAAAATTATGCATTATTAATTCTTGATTTTTTTAAAAGCAATTAATAAAAGGACCTAGAGAAATATCTGAACAGGTATTTACAAGATAACACTACTTTATTATAAAAGAGAAATACAATAAATGTTTATGAACTTGCTTTATGAACCTACCTTTGCTTTTACTTCAGCAATATCATGCCTGTTCAAAAAATCCAATGTCCTCTTACTCATTCCCTTCTCTTCAGTAAAGCTATCAGTTATCTGCACATCACCAGCATCCAATCCTAATTGCAATTAAATGTACAAGTAATAAAGCATTATGAATTTTCATTAGTCCCCAAGCAAGGGAATATATTCTATTTAGTATATCTGGGTTCTGTTTTCTACCTGCAAGGCAAGAAGCTGTAAACCTTTCCACTTGAGCACATTACGCTTCCCCGGGTGGCAAAGAACGGAAATTTTAAGATTTTTGAAACACATACATGATACAGATTTACTGGAAATCATGGCAGGATCATCCTGCATCTAAGAACTGCAAGCCAATGACACAACTCTCAGTGATGTATAACTAGCCATCACAAGTCAAAAAGCTACTGGGCTGTAAGACTACGAAAATACAAAATCACTCACCTCTTCCTACTGATTCATGAAACGTATTTAGCCTTGTAATTTAAACAAATGAGTAAATACAACATAGCTATATTATTACGTATAGACAGCATGTTTTTGAAAATACAGTTTATAGCAAAAAAAATCCTACCTATTGTTGCAACTCTTCTTCCTTTATCCTGAGCAAACTTACGAATCTGTTTTTTCAGTTCAATTCTTTCCTCTTCTAGTCTTTCAATCTACATATTATTATTCACAGATCAGTATTTCATTTTGTTCAAATACATTTTTATTATGTCGCTCTTAGACAAAAATAGAATTTATCACTTGCCTCTTGCAAAAGAATCTGGTTTTCAGCTCTATATTGCTGCTGCTTCAGTCCTTTGCTGTTTCTAAATTCATTTAAATCAATCATTGCCTTTGGCTCAAGCCCTAAAACACAGTACACGCTGTATAATTACTCACTAAGGAGTAACATTAAGGACAGTAATGATTAGAGTGCAGGTAATTTAAATAAGGACATAACTAGTCAAGTAGAATTAAAAAATACTATGTTGATAGTTGAATATATGTATTTCTTTATATGTACACACATCTTATGCTCCATGCAATAATACCAGAAGAAAGCATAGTTTTACTTCACTTAAAAAGCAAAATGCAATAAAATGCCACCCAAAATTAACTATATTTATGTTTAGATTCTTCTATGTAAAAACAAGCCTGTCCAAAGTTTTCTCTGTGTTTTTCAATCTAGCATTACAACTTCAGCATGTTATGGTTCCCAACTACCATATTATGAAATTAATTAAACAGTGTATAGTCAAAGAGGACTCGAAACCAAAAAGCACTAAAAAACCTATTCTACTTTCTTCAGTCAAGTAAGCCAAGTTTAGTCATGTACATTCAAGTTTAACCATGCAGTTTGTCCTAACTAACTAAAACTACTTGCAAGAACTAGCAGAATATACAAAATCATTTCCAAGTAGTTACTTGGTATAGTTAAAAATTGTCATGGTAATAATTTTATTTCAATTCTTACACAACAAATAATTGAAAAATTAATGGATATAGCATACCTAAGCGCTCTCTGAGTTCTTCATTTTCATCAAGAAAATCATTTATTTTAAGTTCAAGTTTATTGACTTCCTTAACTAATGTTTCAATCTCATGATCTCGTATTTTGATTTGCTTTTTTAAGTCTTTTATTTCAGCAACAGCCTCTTCCAAACCATATATTCCCTGCAAAAACCCAAATGGAAAGTGAAAACAAAACTTCAGAAAAGTTTGATTGAAAAAAATCAACAGAAGATGTAAGAAAATTAATCTGTCTTTCATCATTACACAGATAAGAAAAAATATTTTTCAACCTGTATCGCTCTTCTGCACTGTGCTTAGTGAAAAAAGTTACTGAATAAAAGCAGATCCTACAAATCAATCTCTTGAATAGAGGAGTCTCTGCGTATTTCAAAATTGAGTCCTCTTACTACATGATCCTTCAAATAATCCTATCTTGAGTGTTCAACTAGGGTTCAATGGATTTCACAAACCTATATCAGTATGTTAAAACCGAGGACTTGTAAACATTGTCATGTATGGCTAACAAATCACATGCAGTTAGTGACTGCTAAATGTTATTAAGAAAAGGAAAGGGCAGAAGAGGGGGAAAAGAAACGGGGGAAAAGAAACAGGGGAAAAGAAACGGGAAAGCCAGCATCAGACGTCATTACTTAATTTCTAATTAGAACCCAGTCAATAAAAAAACGGAAGGACAAAACAATCTCCTAAAAATAAGATGATATACCCTGTCCACTCTGACAAATTGTTTACCAGTTCATAGTCCCTCATTCGTTTCAGAGTCTCAACAAGCTCTTTGTCCTTTTCTTTAGCATCTGCTTCTGCTAATTCTGCTGATTTCTCAGCCTCCTTAGTTCTCTCTTCTAGCAATTTTAACTTTTCTTGCATATCCCCAAAACGGTTCTGCTGAGGAAGAGATGAGTGACCTGGAAAGAAAAACCTTGCTCTGTTTACATTTCAACTAGGAATTCTTGCTATCAGCCATTAAGCACAAAAGAAACACTACAGACGATGCTATAAAGGAGATCTTAATTTTCTGCTCTTTTTAATTAAGTAATTACAAAATTCTACATACGAGAGCTTTTTTTCTCCCCAATTGTTCATTCAAACAATATTTATAAGAAGTAAGTGCATGTAAGAGACGTCAGAATTACATCTGAATTGCATGCTACTACTCATTTGCGATTCTTGATAGAGCTGAGACCTTATATAACCTCTACAGACCAGGTATAGTTTTATTAGGCACTGCATTATCCATAAAATCCACTGAAGTACTGTGAATGAATTTAAACTCTTCACAAATGTTTAATAAATGGAAATGAACAAAAAAATTGGAGACTAATATTACTCAAATACTACAAATATTTTTCGGTATTTCTAGAGAATAAGGAATGAACAGTAAATTTATGGTTTCTTACTTACCTTTCCATAGCCATTAAAATAAAATGGTCATGTTACCTTTATCTTTTTGGAGATCATTTTTTAATTGCTCAATAACAAATGCATTTTGTTCCATTTCTTTGGTATACTGTTCAACTTGCTCAGTAAGCAATCTTATCTGAGCATCTCGGTCTTGCACACCCTTCACACACAAGAAAAGAAATTTCATTAAATAATTCTTTACTGACAAGTAAGCTACCAACATAGAACACCACACAGTAAATCAAGAAATTAAAAGTAGCTAATACAAAACAATTTACAGAATGTCAAATATACTGTACTTACAACATAGAGTTCAGATATTATCTAGAAGTTGGGTATATAAAGGCAAAGCAGGAAAAATAAAAGAAAGAGTAAAAATAAAGCATTGAGACGCCAAAAAAAAATAAAAGCAGTATTGTAGTATATCAGTTTTAAATGGAACAGTTCTCTAAGAGTTAGCCAATGTATGACGAAAAGTTTCAGATGATACAGGTTTCTTAAAGCTTCCTCACAAACAACTGCCAGTGGGAATGGAAAGATACAAGTTTAAGATGGGGAGGACTAACAATCCATCATACATGACACCTGTATTGCAGGTTGCCTTTCAGCAAATCATCCAACTTTTAAAATTTCATATCACACCTTGTTTTGCATGCATATACATCCATATGTACACACAGACTATGAAAGCGACTTCTGTTTATATTATACCATTTGTGTGGTTATACATGAAAAAAAGTCACAGAAAGTAATTATAATGTAAAAATCTCAACAGCTGCCAACCTTTCTTTATACCAACGTTAGACAAACTGAGAGGATACATATAATCACACTTCAAATCGAAAGGTGAATAGCTTAGCAAAGTTGTAAGGAGCTAAACATAACCCTTTATAATGCAAACATACACTAAACCATAACAAGCTCAGTCCATTTTGAGTTAAAACGCAGTGCAGTAACTTGATTTAAATTTTAAGTGTCTGCTTTAAAAATATGCTTATTTCCACAAAACTGTTCAAAATGTCATGCTAATGACAAAAAAGCAACCTCCACAGCCATCTAGTCAGCTAAAATCAGGCTCTAGAAGCGTTATCAAAGTTAACTTTCACCTGCCTTCCTCTTCTCATCATCAGAGGTTGATTTGTACATATGGTTTTTCTTCTCTATCTGTTCCTAGTTTTGGCAGACTGCATAAATGTATCTCACCACACTGCTCAGTCTACAAGGACCCAACATGTAACATAAATGTCATGCCACATTTATTTAAAAAACTTGAAGGAAGGCAGAAAATCATCCTGGTATTATACAGTATGCTTTCCATAAGGCATATTTCAGGGCTCCTAATGCACTATGTCATTTATTTATTCTTTACATGTTTTTTAAGAAAGTGGGGAAAATTCAGATCAGAAAGAACTGCATCATTTTGTACAAATAAGAGAGATACTTAAATTCTAGCTAGCTCTATCATGGACTGACCCACAGACTTAATAGTATAGCACCAGATGAGACAAAGGAACACAGAAAATTAAACGTTAGGTAAGACTCTTCCTTGACTAACAAATTTAGAGGACAGAAACTAAGCTATAATTTAAAAACATTGAATTATGGATGCTCAGATGTTAAAGCAATCACTCTACTAATAGTTAGAAAAGATAAATATGAAACTAACAGAAGCAACTACCAAGAGCTCAGTTCATACATACAGCAAGAGAATTTTCCTTTGTGCCTTGTCTATTAAGCTAACTTTGCAGTGGAATGAATCAACCTGTCTCATACTTCTCAAACATAAGTAACACACATTCTGGTACTTGCAAACTATGAAAGACTAAATAATTATGTGGTCACTAGCATATTTAGTGAATGGTGATTTCTATGCATGTAATTTCTCGCATAGACTGTACCTGCTGAAGGGCCAGTATACTGTTTCTGTCAACATCAAGTTGGGCCATTTTCATTTTCTCTTTCAAGTGAAACAACATTTGCTGATACTCTAGGAGTTCATCATCTTTTGAAGCTAAGATTTTCTGAAAAGAAGACAAAAAACCATCAGAACACTTGAAATAATTCCTAAAATAATATGAAAAAGTATTAAAAAGTACCTTCCATTCTTCAACTTTTGCATTTACAGCTGCCATGAGTGGATCATCTTCTTCATTCTTTGCTTTCAGCTGGTCTGAAAGCTCCTGAACCTAGAAATGACATTTGGACGAACATCACATCACAAAAATATTTTGCTTAACCAACGTAGATCTACCAACACGCTACATCAAGCACATACAGTTCAACAGATTAGCATTACAGCAGCAAGGGAAGGACAAGAACAGAGTACGACTAATATTTTGTACAAAAAAATATTTTGATCTGCAGTCAAGTTTTAAAATTTGCAGCAAATTTAAAGTTCACATTACTTTTAGAGACTTATTTCGGTAGAGCATGTGTTTTTAACTGGGTATGCTGAATGTTTTTTAATTTAAGATACGAAAATACAGTATAAACCTAAAAAAAATTACGTTCAATACTATAAGTCAGTTCTTACTTGAAATTTGTACTGTTCTTTCTCTTTTCTTAACTGATCCATAACAATATCAGATTGTTGCACAATTAATTTCATTTTGTTATATTCATCAGTCATTTTCTCCATTTCTTGCACTGATTCCTCAAGATTCTTCCTCATTTCTTGGTTTTGAATGTCTAACTTCTCATTAGCTTCAGTCAAATTCTGCAAAATTATAGAAAAAGCTGCACACCTTAGTACCTGAATAAGCACTGATTTATAGCTACCTTAAATGTAAGGTTGAAAGTCTTACATGAAATTAGCACAGAAAAGAGTACTTGACCATCAATTTCAACAAATCCTAACAGCAAACAGAAGACACATCTCCCACTGCCAGTAACTTCGTTACCTTTGCCAGACTCACAGATGCAGAGTGTATGCATCGCAGAACCCAATTGCATTATGAATTCCCTTACTCTACGTGACTTCAACTGTAAATTGACACAGCTCTGTGAAAAACACTACTGTCAGTAACAGTTTAATAAATACTCAATAGCATGCACAGATTTTACCTGAATTTCATCCAAATACTGGACAAGCTCAAAGTTCTTTTTGGACAACTGTGATCTATAATCAGAATCCTCTCCTCTTCGTAACAGAGTTGTTTCTTTTTGAGAATCTATTTGCCTCTGATAGTCAACTACATCCTGACGCAATTGTTCATTCTGCACAGAAAACAACCCAAACTTCAATCTATTTTGAAGAGTTGAAGACAAAACTGTTGCTTTTCTAGCAAGCTAACACAAAGAGCTAAGACAGTCAAAACCCACCCAAATTCCTACAGTCTGCTTTTAAAAAACTTAAAATCCTCACCTTTTTCTTTATGTGTTTTTTCTTCAGATTAAAAAGGAGAGGACAAGACCAAGAGAACAAAGCATGAAAAATATTAGAAATTAACTTTGTTTTAGGAAGCCCTAACCTGTGACAGAAGACTAAATAGGAATCAACATAGAAACAAAATAAAATAGTTTTCTATATACCTGTGCACGCATGTACACACACACACACACACACGTACATAAAAGGGCATTTTCATAGAATCACAAAATGGTTTGGGCTGGAAGGACCTTAAAGCTCATCTAGTTCCAACCCCTCTGCCACGGGCAGGGACAACCTCCACTAGACCAGGCTGCTCAAAGCCCCATCCAACCTGGCCTTGAGCACTTCCAGGGAAGGGGCAGCCACAGCTTCTCTGGACAACCTGTTCCAGTGCCTCACCACCCTCACAGTAAGGAATTTCTTCCTAATATCTAATCTAAATCTAAATTTTGAGGAATGATTCTCGAGGTTTCCCCCCAGGACACTAATTTAACTTGTGCTGTGTGTTTTATTCTCTCAGAGGCCAAGATTATAGGCATTAAATGCTATAAAATATGCATTGTTTTCCTAAAAACAGCTAGAAAAAATGTTTCAAGAGAATGAATAAAAAAAATTCTAGTAATAAAGAATGTTAATTCTATCTTTGCCTTTATCATTATATTACTTTTGACTTTTTCTACCTTTATTTTAACCAGACAATCTTAGCAAAAGCAGCAAGCATAAACTGAATCCTGTCTAATATCCACCAAATCTATTTGTCAGTAGTATTTAAGAAAAATACTAAGATTCAAAACACAAATCCAGACTAAATTAATGCACAGCAGGACCATATAAATTCAAATGTAGACACCTCCTGACCTCTATTAACTAAGTTTCATTGGAGCAGATGTACCGTATATCTGCTAAATGTGATTAAAATTCCATATTCTCTTTGTAGCAGTAACCAGGAAATGTTCTAAAACCGAATTAAACATCACGCCATACCAAAGATTACAAAATACAGAAAGCAAATAATACACTTATTAATGAAGTTAAAAATACAGTAAATCAGCAATAATTCTTTACTAACCTCTCTCCTTAATTTGATGTTTTCATTTTCGGCATCTTCATTTCGAAGAGCAAGCTAGAACAAGACACAAAATCTTTATATGTATTACTGACAGCACAAATTATGAAAACAAAGAACTTCAGAAACAAATAGAAAACAAAAGCACAGCAGTCCTATTTCATCAGTATTTCAATTTTGGAGACTCTTTTCAGAACATCGACTTTTCAAAAGATGTGCCAGAACAGCTTTTAGAGAAGTCAAGCTGAAGTCCTTTTCTTACCTGTTCATTCACTTTCTTCTCTTTTTCCAGTTCTTTTTCTGTATCCGTTAACTGTCTCTCTTTTTGTTCTAATTGTTTTTCCAGTTGGCGGATCTCATCACGCAGAAAACGAGTATCACGACCACCAGCAGATCTTTGTGCCATCTTAAGAACATTAAAATGACACTATAAATATAGTACAGTTATTCAAAATAGAAAGAACTAAAAAAGCAAAGTAGATGCTAAGAATAACATTCCCAACGTTCAGGAAAAGCAACAGGAAGGGTTCACGAGCTTCTTTCAACAAAACCCAGAAATCTCAAAAAAATAAATGGGATTTATTCAAGTATTAAAAAAATCATTGTACATATAGCTCTTTACAAACCTGAGGCTGGTAAATATTCAAAAGCCCATAAAAAGCATTAGTTAAAATGTAGAGCTATCACATCTCTTTACTAGATTAAAATACTAGTCTGCAAAACCTCATTTAGAAAAAACACCAAACAGCATGCTATAAACTAACAAAATTTTAAAACATACCTCTAATTCATTTTGAAGTTTCATCACCTTTGTTTTAAATTGATTTTCTGTTAAAATAGAACAGGTATAGTGAATTACCAACAAGGTGAAAAGTACATAAATCAACAATGGTTAACCTCGGTCTTTAAATACTTGGCTTCACTGAAGCAATTGACTTCAGAGAGTTAGTATTTTATTCAGTTACTTAAACTTTAAAAAAAACCCAAACCCCCAAACTAAAAAATGCATTTAACAAATCATTTAGGAACAGCATAAAAAGGCTTGCTTACCACATTTGGCTTGCTCTTCCCCAGCTTTTTCAACTTCTTCTAGTGCCAGCTCTACCTCTTGAACTTTCATCTGGGAAAAACGTATAGTAAACAAAGAAGAAACATTTACTACTAACGTAAATTAAAAGATTGTTCTGTAGATCTTATGTTTAAATTATGAAAACAGTCACAAAAGAACATTAATTTTCCCTCTTTAAACAAATGAAACCACTGCAATTTTTCCCCATGCTGACAATTAAGCAGTTCAGATTGTTTAAATATCTTCTTTAGTAAGTTATTCTTCAGGGCTACCTAAACATTCAAAAGCATACTGCTGAGAATTGCACACAGCAAAAAAACCTCTCTAAAACCAATGTGCTAACCTATGCTGCTGTTATTTCTTGCTTTAAGTAGTACAGTTATGAGTAAATACAAGAAAGTATGACAGACTTATAGGAGCAGTTTTAGGATGGCAGTGCTTCTTCATTCACAGTGACATTTTTATTTACTCTAAAACATCAACCTACCACAAAAACGCCTATTACAGTTAATTACCAACAACCTACAACCAATTTTTGAGATACTTGTTTGTATTTTCCATCCATAAAACTAAAGTTCCTTAACTATGTAACTATGTTAGTCCTATTCACTTTACTTCCCACCGCCACATGCCATAATCCCAAGAGCTACAAGCAGATATTCTGGTGCAAGCACACACGTAGCACATAAATGCTCTTAGGAATAACCAGTGTGTTCAATGCAGGAAAAGAAAAAAAAAAAAAAAAAAAGGAGAGTAATGATGTTTTCATTTAAAAAAAAAAATAAACAAATGCATCTGCAGAACTGTAAGAAGTGAGGATGAATACAAACCCTCAATAGTGTCTGAGTAATTTTAAAAAGGTGTATCAGTTGTTCCAGAGTTTCAGTTTTTAAATCTTTCCCATCAACCTAAGGAAAGAGACAACAGTGTTTTTACACAAATATCAAAGAAATCCACAAAATAAATCATTTATGTATGTGAAGGACCAGAGACAGTTTAGGGAAGAATGTATAACAAAACCCCAACGTTCTACTTTCCCCTTGAGTACCTTGGACACAATCTCCAGCAACCTGTCTGCTAGTTTCTCTTGATGAGGCAGGGTATCTGGATCAACTTTCATAAGCTTCTTCCAATCTAAAATGGGTGCCATACTGAATTTATAATTTTTTCCTAGAATAACAAATAAAATAACAATTATCAGATGTTTTCAGTGCCAATCAATTTTACATCAAATGATTGAAAGGAGAGTGGCCACTGAACAACACAAGATGACTCTAATAACTGTATCAATTTTGTAACACTGATTAATATTGTGTTCACATTTTGGTCTACTGCAAACAAGGACAGTATAGCAAAACCATTTTTTCTTTAAGTTTAAAATTACATCATGCATACTCAATGAATTTGTGACACTAACGGTGAAGATCAGGACACATGTGAAACCTCTATTTTAACTCCAATATCCTCTTTTCCTCCCCACCTCTCAATGAGGTATTTTTATGTCAAATGAACAAATGCAGCTGGATGCCCTTTGAACCAGGCCTTGTAGGATAAACATGTCCCCACAGTCACAAAATCATTATTCCTAATATTCAAAACACAACCAACACCCGCTTTAGTTTGATACTGTGAGCACCAGTTTCCTGCCATTAATTTCTAAGATATTAAATTTTCCTTTTGATTAGAATACTTGAGATAAAGGACAGTAAACAACTTGGAAACTGACAAAAATCCAATTAGAATGTGGTGCAAAGCTTTATTCTACTGCTTACCTAGTGGTCGCTGTGGGCCACAGTGACTTCTCATATACCTGAAAGTCAATGCAGTATCTGAAAAAAGCAAAAGGGATTGGAAGTCTTGCATTATTTCATTCTCTGCAGCTGTCTAGCCTTTGTTATGAAAAATTAAGATTCTGCCAAGTTTAAAACAGAACATTTTTTAATCTACTTATTGCCCTAAATAACAATTATGGCATAAATGATTAAGAAAATTAAGAAAGAAATAAAACTAACTAGAATATTCAATTCATTATTATTCAAAAAACTAATGACACAGAAGGGACATATATTTTATAGAACAAAAACCAATCTCAATCAGTAACTGTAAAAATGCTTCTATGCTAAGCATAAGATTTTGAGATCTGTTCCATCATGTACCCTGTTTATCATTCAGCAGTTTAAAGACTCAACAACTGAAACTTCCTTCCTTAATGAAAGGCTGAACTGGTATTACTTTCCCCAACAAATATGCCTAAGCAGTCTGAAAGAAGAGCTGTAATACTGAAATCCAGCTGTATGCTTAAGGGAGGACAAAAAAAATCAACATTTCCTCATCTTTTCTGAATACCTGAACTTCTTGAGAGCTCCCCTATATTTATCATTTCTTCAGTGTTTGCTAAATGTTTTATAAAACATATGTTCCACATAATCCATGACTTCATAAGGATGACATCACATGTATGTTTTTGCTTTTCTGCTTTGTCACAGATGGCAAAGGAAAACAGGAGAAAATCACATGCAGGCGCATACCGATCTTTGCACTCCTCCTTCTGCAGTGAATTGAATACTACTTGATTAACATACTTGTTTAAGGGTTGTTTTTTTAAAAAACATATTAATTTTTTCTTAAATGATGAGATGAAGGAATTCTGGGTATGAAATGCTCACTAGTCAAAACTATTCTGAAAGCAAATACACAACCTTACTACTGTCAGTCTCTACCTACCTTCCATCTCTTTTTCTCTTAACTTATAAACCAACATCTTAAGAAAGTATCAGTCCTAAAATTCTATCCAAAAGGAGAGGTATCAGTACATAAATCAGAGACCAGCTGTAGTAGGTGCAGGGGCCACAACCTAAGCATACAGTATGTTCCACAGTACGTACCCACTTAAGGAAAATAAGAGAGAACTTATTTAATTGAAAAGTTTTCCATCATAAAATTTAGCCGATCACTCTCCTCAACTAGAACCTGTGCTTTTAGTTAACAGATGATCTGTGTGATGAGACACTGAGATCAAGGCTCTACACGAAGTGTGAAATAGACGTGTATTTGACATTAATTATCACAGGATTTTCTTGACTTATTCAAGGAGTCAAACCGACATAAAATGGCCAGATGTTACAAAGTTCAGCAAGGGTAGCCAGGAAAGGAGGTCTGGTGGGCATGTTGAAGTACCATCAGAACAAAAATAATGTCCTGTGCTGACTACAGGAAACCACGTAAAGAGGCAGCTAAGCTACCATGGTGATACCTATCATCACAGTGAAGTTAAGCACCAGCAGCAACAGGTGTTCTTTTTCCACGAGGGTGTGTACGATGTGCAGCACAGTCACATATATTTGAGCAAGGCTGAATACCAAGAAGCAGCAGAGTCACACGGGAGGTGTACTCTGCTGTAACTTCGTATTAGTTTGCCAGGCCTGAACCCACTTAAGCTACTTCTGGTTTCCCAGTGACATCACCCAGAGCAGCTCTCATCTGCCAGCTCCGCAAAGCGCCAGATCTTAACTACAAAGCTCCAAGCAAAACGGCACCTGGCGCAGGGTTCCTATTTTCTTCCGATTTGTATATCCCAGACCCGGGAATGACACAGTCACAGACCACGACCCCTCCAGGATGCTGCCGAGAGTCGGCTTTACCTCCATTTCACCCGACTCGGCCGAATTAACAAATTGCTTTATTTTGCGCCCAACTTCACACGGGGCACGGCCGAGGCACCAACCGAGAGTGGACCCGGTGGCTGTGACCTCCACGTAACGACTACG